ATATATATATATATATATATATATATATATATATATATATATATACATTAATTTCATTTGTACAAAAAGAAAATATAGAAATAAATTTAAGTTGAATTGAAGAAAATGTATATGTATAAATTACAGGGATGTGTTAGGGCACATGTTACATGCTAATTGTTATACGGTGGATCATAGGCCATACAACTATGTGAACCATGGTTAAAAAACGACGATGTTTCTTTAAGTAAAAAGAAACGGCAACCGTTATGCTTAATTAATCCCATATTTATGATGTGCTTAGAACAAAACGAAACTACAGTGTATCTAAAATGAAACAAAATAACATGTTTCACATATTGAGTGTGTATTGTCAAATGAAACTGTAGTTGAATTAGAATGATATTTTATTTGTGTTGTAATGAAACTATGGTATGTATAAAATGAAACTAAATAACAAGTTTCACATATTTGAGTGTATGTTGTTCAATGAAACCGTAGTTGAATTAGAATTATACTTTAGTGGTATTGTAATAAAACTACAGTGTGTATAAAATAAAATTCAATAACATGTCTCACTTATTGGGTGTATAGTTGTGTTGTAATGAAACTATAATGTATATAAAATGAAACTGAATACGTCACAAAAACAGAATTAGTTAGACGAAACGAGTGTTGTCATTTTTCATCAAAAGAAACGGAACCATTTTGGACCATGGTCCACACTAATCCATAGAAATCGTTACGCTATGGACCCGTGTCCAGCATGCATTGTGGACACAGTAACGGTGCCGTTAGTGGCACCGTTATCTTCCAGTTTTTTTTTTCTTTTTAATTTCAGACCACTTCGTTATAGGAGCATATGTTCATAATTTTATCACTATATGTTCATAATTGTAAGTTCATAATGTCAGAGCTCTGTGTTCATAATTCCATAACTGTACATTCATACTTCCATAACTGTACATTCATAATTCCGTAACTGTACATTCATAATTCAATAACTGTAAATTCATAATTTTCGAAGCTCTATGTTCACAAGTTTAGAGCTCTATGTTCATAATTTAATCACTATATGTTCATAATTGTAAGTTCATAATGTCAAAGCTCAGTGTTCATAATTTCATAACTGTACATTCATACTTCCATAATTGTACATTCATAATTCCGTAACTGTACATTCATAATTCAATAACTGTAAATTCATAATTTTCGAAGCTCTATGCTCACAATTTTAGAGCTCTATGTTCATAATTTTATCACTATATGTTCATAATTGTAAGTTCATAATGTCAGAGCTCTGTGTTCATAATTACATCATTCCATAACTGTACATCCATATTTCCATAACTGTACATTCATAATTCCATAACTGTACATTCATAATTCCACAAACGAATAACGTCGTTAACGACAAGACAAAATTAAATTATTATTTTTTTACTGAAATGCCGTCGTTTTCCCTAAAAACGATGTCGTTCTGGACTCGTGTCCATAGCATAATTTGCGAATCCATAGTAAAATTTACCATTATATGTAACCTGATCTACGATATAATTTTTTTGAATGCGATCTACGATATAACTATTACTTCAAAGACTCAACATAGTTGTACTGCACAATGAGTCCAGCCCAAATCCAATCCACCAAATGTTCATGGTTGGAATAGAAGCCCCCTTTATCGGGGACGTTATGCCATGGAACCGTGTTCACCATTCATGGTGAACACAGTTCCAACGGTGTTAGTATACCGTTATCTTTTTTTTTTTTTCTTTCTTAATTAATTGCGTGACTTTTCTTCTTTATTTTCACATTTTTCGGTTTCACTTAAATTTGAAGTGAACAAAGATTTCGGACATTCATAAATTATGAATTCATGCCTGCACATTCACTATGGAACAATGCCTACACATTCCCGTCCGAAATCACAGACATTCATAAATTATGAATCCATGCCTGCGCATTCACTTTGGAACCATGCCTACACATTCACTTTGGAACCATGAGATTATGAATTTTCTGTTATAAGATTATGAATTTTTTGTTATGAGATTATGAATTTTCAGTTATGAGATTATGAATTTTCTGTTATGCGATTATGAATTTTCTGTTATGAGATTATGAATTTTCATTACATTCATAATTTCGGACATTCATAAATTATGAATTCATGCCTGCACATTCACTTTGGAACCATGCCTACATATTCCTGTCCGAAATCATGGACATTCATAAATTATGAATCCATGCCTGCACATTCACTTTGGAACCATGCCTACACATTCACTTTGGAACCATGAGATTATGAATTTTCTGTTATAAGATTATGAATTTTCTGTTATGCGATTATGAATTTTCTGTTATGAGATTATGAATTTTCATAAAATTCATAATCTCATAACAGAAAATTCATAATTTGATCAAAAGCGCGCCGTTAACTCCACATCCGCGAAATTTTATTTTTTTGCCTAAAAACGACGTCGTTTTGCCTTGTGTTCACCATTCTCGGTGAACACGATTCCATGGCATAATTTGCGCCCTTATCGCTTGAGGCAAATTATTGTGTGGGCCACGTGGACCAGTTGTGTGGACCACGGTCCAAAATATTTTCGTGAATATTATAATTAAAACTAATGTATATTATGTGTTAGAATAATATACATTATCTTTTAAAATAATATATATTACGTGTTAAAATAATGTACATTATGTTTTAGAATAATGTACATTTTGTGTTAGAATAATGAAATATATAAGGTAATATAATGTACATTATGCTTTAGAATTATATACATTGTGTTTTAAAATAATGTACATTATGAGTTATAAAAATGTATGTTGCAGCTGAGCGCAAGAAAAAATAAAATTAAGCAAAACGACAATTGTTTTTGGACTGTAGTCCACACAGCTATGTGGATCACAGTCCACGCAATAACTATTGATCGCTTGAAGCAAGTCTAAAGTGAGATTTCGTATGTATTAGACTAATACCTTAGGGGCCTTTTCTTGAAATTTTGGTAATTTGAGATTAAATTAGTATATATATATATATATATATATATATATATATATATATATATATATATATATATATATATACTAGTTTTTTTTACGCGCTTTGCGCGAATAGGATAATGCCCAATACTTATTTTTAAATAAGTATTTCAAAGTATATCAATGCAATATTATATAGAAGATGTTTGTGCATAGGTAAATAAATGTTAAATTTGTTTATTTAAATCGGTAATTTAAAGTATATAAATGCAAAATAATATATGAGAGATTGATTATATATAACTGTCACAAAAATAAATGTTTGCAACTTTGTAATAATGCTAATCTAAGTACTAAGTCTAAAAGTGATAGTCTAAATAAATACTATTTTTGGTTTAAATTTTTCTAATTCTCTTTTAGGTAGCATTGTTATTATTTTCATCTTCAGTACATGTCTTTTTTTTTTTTATTGGTAGTGTGTCATGTGCAATTGGGTTATTGGTAGTATCATAGAGGGATTCATCATGCAATGAGATTATGGTGTATGAAGTTTTAGATTTGTCTTGTTGTGTATATGACTGAGATCTTAGTTGTGCTATGAACTCTTTATCTTACAAGCACATGTTGATATTTGGTAGCGGTAGTTTTCCCCTACATGTTTCATGTGTTGTGAGACATCTAATTCTAAATTAATTAAATGCATATGCATTATTTTTTGTTATAGCTACTAATTTATTTTTTAATTTAAGCAATAAGAGCAATCAAGTGGGAAAATTATGATATGGAACCGTGTCCACCTTGCAAGGTGGACAAAGGTGGACACGGTTCCAAAACTGTTTATAATTATGAATATATAGTTCAAAAATTATGAACATACAGTTCTATAATTATGAACATAGAGTTGTGAACATAATTATGAACATATAGTTCTGTAATTATGAATATAGAGATTCAATAATTGTGAATATCAATTTAAAAAATTATGAATATATAGTTTTATAATTATGAACATATAGTTCAGTAATTATGAACATAGAGTTCTGTAATTGTGAATATAGAGTTCAATAATTATGAATATGGAGTTCAAAAATTATGAATATATAGTTTTATAATTATGAACATAGAACTGCGTCCACATTGCAAGGTGGACACAGTTCCACAATATAACAATTGAATATAGTAGGCGTACATACTTTTCATCCACAATAATGAAATCATTGATTTTTTTTTTTAAATTTCCATTCATTGTTGAGACAAATTGTTTTGAGAGTTTGTCAATGACAATTGCTGTCAATAGATGATGATAATAAATAATTCAAAATATAAGGTTACAATAGATATTATTATAATAATATAGTAAAAATTAACTTACAAATTTCTTTAGAAGTTTTCATGCATGTTAAAAGCATAATTGAAATATTAAGTTTTGTTCTCAATAATCAAAAGAAGATTAATTAAACAAAAAAAAAAAAAAACTGAACTTAAATTTATTATTTTTTTTAATGAAAGAAAATCAAATGATTATCAAAGTTCCTGATTTATAATCATTGAATGCTATGTATTTACTCGGGCTAATTATTTGACCAAAGTTTATGTTAAGTTTTATATTTTATTTTTTAATACATTTTAACATATTCATAGTATATGTTTAACAATTATGCTAACTCTAATTGGAATGCGGTTTGAACCTAAGACCTTTCTTATAGAAATTAATGAGTAAGTTAATAATAGTAAATAGTTAACGGAATATTCCGTTAATAAAGTTTATACTAACGGAATTTAAGGTTATTTAAGGAAAGAAAATAATATAATAAAAGGATAAATAAGGAAAATCATTAAAAATACTAAAATCAAAATACTATGAATCATTCATTTTAAGAAACAAGTAGTACTGACATTTTTTTTATTTCAGTTAAGGGCCTAACATTATTGGCTCTTATTAGAATTGTATGTAGATATATATATATATTTTTTGAAGCTTAATATATTTTTCTTAAAAATAAAGTAAAAGATTATGGAGTTGCATATAAGGAACAAACCAATTATATTTAATTATTTCCAATCAAATGCAAAGAGTTTTATCTTAATCCAAACCTTTAAATATTAATACATAAAAAATAATAATAAAAACAATCGTATAATCCAAGCTCCAAGAACAAGGTAGCCAAACAAAACAAAAAGTAATACAAATTATTTCAAATTAATAGAGCTTCAATGTAACCACTCCAAATGCTACCAGCGATATTAAAGGTGAAACACTCATAAACGACGCAACGGATGGTGCCGGAGGATTGCCGGAATTTTTAGCCGGAGTTCCGGAATTTGCTGTCGAGGGCGGTGGGGTTTGATCAGAAGGATTAGCATCAGATTTTGGTGTTGCAGCTGGTGACATTGACTTTGGAACAGCATCACCTATCGATAAATTAAAGTAATAAACATGGCAAGAGTAAATTATTAATCAACTTTAACTTCTTCTTTTTTTAACAAACAAAAAAAACATTATTTTAATCTCAAATTACGAATTTAAATATACTAATTTAAATTCGTAAAGTTGTAACTAAAATTCGAATTAATTCATTATTTTAATAAACTACAATAATATATAAGTAATAGTTTCAATTAATGAGGCTATTTACTTTTGAATCTTTAAAGAGTTAATACTATCTAAGGTCATTCGATTGTACTGATTTTGTCACATTTAGTTTTAAATTTTCAAATAGACCATCCGTGGTCCTTCAACTTTCAAATTGTTACCATTCATGGCCCTTCGACTTTCAAATTGTTATAATCAGTGGTCAAAGTTAACTACCCATGATCCTTCAACTATCAAATTTTAACCACATGTGGTCCTTTCAAGAGCCAGCGGCTGGTTAAATTTTCAAAATTGAAGGATCGTGGGTGTTAACTTAGACTAGTGATGGTAACAATTTGAAAGTAGAAGGACCACTAGTGATCAGTTTGAAAATTTAAGACTAACCGTGACAAAATCACTGTACTCAGAGGATCCCAGATGACATTAACTCAATCTTTAAAATCATGCCTAGTTACAATGTCTAAGTTGACATTCAAACTTTTAAATTTGCCTGAAAATTTGTTAGGCACAAAAAAAAAAAATTAAAATAAATAAATAAAACAAAGGATTGCATAGTACCTGTGGGGTCTCTAGAAGGACCAGGGGCCGGTTTCGGTGACAAAGTGGGTACCTCAGCAACAGGACCTGTGCATCAAATCTTTGTCAACAAAAAAGTAATTTATGTGCAATTTGTATTGATTTTCATCAATCATCATATCATTAATGGGTTATTTTAATATTCAGCTAGCTGTAGTTGGTATGTTTAATTCAATCCAAATTAAAAGTGCATTTTAACCTAATTGGATATAATGTATATATATATATTTTTTATTATGCAATATATGACTATTTTAAAATAATATTTGTCGAATGATAACATACTTGAAGCAGGACTTGGCGCACCAGGGACTCCAGAAGCTACAATTCGAAGAAAGTAAATTAAACCCATGAATACATAAATATTCAAGTACAGGAAAAAAAAAAAACACAAATTAAATAGTTTTGAAAATAAGAATTTGTGAAAACCTTTGCATTGGATGGCCATGCTGGGCATCTGACAAGCACGGGGAAGGGAAAGGGTAAGGTTTCGATTAATTGGAACTTGAAAAGGAGCACCAGAGGCAATGAAGCAAAGACAAGACGTGCCATTGCTTGTTACAGACTTGAGAATATTGCAACAACTTGAAGAGGGTGATGTGGAGTTGCTTGTGACAAAAGTCAAACAAGGAGCGAAACTTGTGAGTGTTGAGGGAGAGCAGGGCAGATTGACAATTTGGCCGTTGAGGGGCGAAGTTAGGAAGAGTAGTAATGCAACAATAACCAAGCAAGGACTAAGACGATGAATAGCCATTGTTTTGAGTTTGAGTATCGGTTGTGAGGGATGGATTTTGATGATTTGTTAAAAAGGATTTCTTGTTTGTGATAGGAAGGGAGATAATGGGTCGGGGATATTTATAGGGGAAAAGTTTGACGTAAAGAGAGGGGAGAGAAATATTGGCCGCCATGAGTAGGTTTTGAAGTTCAACAACTTTAACTAACTTTGCTAACTCTCAATAGCTTTTTGTTGGGGTTTTTTTTTTTTTTTTTTGAAAGGATTTTGTTGGGGTGATTGTCATGATTTATCAATTGTTAATTAAAATATACCAAGTGGTTTATGGTCCATTGGTATCGGATTGCTCCCCTATGTGAGAGGTCTAGGTTTCGAGCCTTGTTGTAGGCGTAGTTTGTATGGGCGTCCCCTTTCCTTGTAATCAAAAAAAAAATTGTTAATTAAAATATCAAATATTATACGATGAGTATCTTGTGAGACCGCTCAGGTTGGAAAATATGATTACTAAAAATCATAGGTTACCTAAAGTTCTAGAACTATCTTTCTCTGTTTATCTAAAAGTTAAGAAATCACATTTTTCCTATTTAGTTCATTTTTCTGAAAATGAACATAATAATAATAATAATAATAATAATAATAATAATAATAATATGTTGTGATGGTGGTGGTGGTGATTTTAGTGGTTTGGCGGTTGTGATGGTGGTACTAATAATAATCCGGAAACTAACTTTAAAAAGAAGAGGTGGAAGAGAGACGGAAAATAAAGAATCCGAAAAATGTATTCCAACTAAAAAAATAAAAAGACATTTTTCGTCAAATTGAACCTTTTTTCAGTTGACTAAAATGAATATTCTTCTTCCACTTCATTTTCTTTGAGTACCCAAACACTAAAAATTCGAAAGTCATTTTGCGAGTTTTCAAATAGACCCTAAGTCTACCTCTTTAAGTTATTAATGAGAATTAAAATCATCTACTATACTACTCAAATTTCACATTCTTGGTAGCCTTATTTGACTGTTATTACGTTCATTAAAACATGTTCCTATTTTATTTTACCCGTCATTTTTACTATGAATTTGTCAAATTAACTTTTATTTTCTTATTTTCTTTTATGGTTTCTATCATTTTTTAATTTGAATTATATGAGACGGAAATAATATTTCAAAAAGTATTTCAATTCATATGTTACATATTTTAATTTGATTAATTAGGTGTGCAAGTCACCAGTCCAAAGCTTGCATGTGTTTGTCGGAAACACGCAAGAAAAAGAGAGAACAAAAATTCCTGCAAGGTCACCTAACCAAACTGTCTCGCCGCATGAAGTTTGTTAAGGTAGTTGAGCCCCTAAACTACTTCCAATCAATTATTGAATCTAAATAATTAAATTATTTCCTTCTTTTCTCATTTAACGAATTTTCCTTTCCCTTCTATAAAACCCATAAATCTTCATTTTCTATTTCTTCATACCAAATCACAACTTCCCCTTGCTTAATTACCTCCCCAGGCCACCCAAAATCTCCTAGAAAACACACTTATTTCAATTCCTTCCAAAACAAAACCAAAAAAAAAAATGGTTATAAGAAGGTTAATCCCTGCTGCTTTAGCTATTGGTTTTGTGGTGTTTGTTTTGGGAGTTGATGGGCAGATCAGTACGGCTTGCAGCGCCTCCATGCTGCAAAGCTTCACTCCTTGCCTAAGTTTCCTTACAAATGGCGGCGGCGCCTCATCGTCTCCAACCTCTACTTGTTGCCAATCACTCAAGTATCTGATGAGCAATGGCACAGATTGCCTTTGCCTCATTGTCACTGGAAATGTTCCTTTTCGTGTTCCGATTAACCGAACATTGGCTATTTCTCTCCCTAAAGCTTGTAGGAACAGTGGTGTTTCTGGTGTACCTGTCCAGTGCAAAGGTGATTTTAATTTGACATTATAATAAATAATCTCTGAGTTTGTGTTTCTGATGGATTTGTAACTGTTGTTTTCATGATTGAAATGCAGCTTCTGCTGCTCCTCTTCCAGCTCCAGGTACTATATATATTAAGTTATCCATTTTGAATTGGATCAAAATTGTTTACCAGATTGAGTATATATAATTGATTAGTTTCTAAAACATGATATATGTTTCAGGGCCTGCAGCCCTTGGACCAACTTCATCACCCTTACCTACATCACCTAGTCCTCGAGGAGGTAAATTAAATTCTGTTTTTCTTCTCCCCTTTAATTAAAAAGTCCACAGGTTATTATAAGTAAGTCCTGCAATTAATTACTTTGTTGTTATTGTATTTGCTAGTAGCGAAAACGCAACTTAATTTATTGGGTCGTCCTATTTTTTTACCAGGTGCTAGACTTGACCTTTACTAACCTCTGTCTAACAATTTCTCCTTTCAGCACCAACTAGTCTAGCACCGACAATTACCCCTCAAACAGGCCCAACAATTCCTCACATCGGGTTCTTTACTTGCCTCTATGCACCCAACAATTCCCCCTCCCAATAGCAACTAGTCTAGCCCCTCAAACACGGAGGATCAACAATTCTCTCCATTGGGTGACAGACTTGGCCTTTATTGGTCTCCGGCCAACAATTTTCCCTCTTACCACCAACTAGTGTTGGGACTAGTGATCTAGCTTTGAATCCTTTGATACCACTGGTTAAGATCAAACGCTTACCATTACGTCAAAAGCTAGAGCTAGTAGCGAAAACCCAACTTTATTTCCTTTTAGACCGCCGTCACATTTTCGAGATGTTGAGTGTTAAACTTGGCCATTTAAATTCTTTACTGGCCTTCGCCTATGTGCCTAACAATTCCTCATTCACCTGGTGCTAGATTTGGCATTCACTGACACCCTCCCAACAATGGAAGACTTTTAATGATAATGATAAATTGCAGGTTCAGGTCTTCCTCTTCCATTTACGCCGACGCTGCCGCCACCACCACCAGTAGAAGATAATGTACCAACAGGAGGCTTGACACCATCAACTCCAACAGACAACTCCAACTCTGGATTCCCAACTTCAAGTCCAGGATTCAAGCCTGATTTGACACCAGATGCCGCCCCACCTTCTATCAATCTTTCATTCTCTCTTCTTCTCGCAGCTCTTGGAGCAAGCCTTCTCAAGTTTTACTGATCTTTTTTGTCCTTTTTCTTTACTTTTTTTTTTCCCATTTAATTTTCTGGCTGGGTTATAAATGTACTACTACTGCATATAAATTCTTTGATGTTCTATTTGCAATTTTTTTGAATTCTTTTTGCATCGTTCGTTATTTTGTAATCAAGTTCTACTATTATATTGGATGAGGTTTTGACAAATCTTTTTGATATTATAGTGATGTATATATAGCCAACTACCATATATTCTTTTATCATTTCGGTATTTCGATTTTTTTGTGTTAAAAATGCTTGAAAAAGTATAGAATGGATACTATTTTGTAAAGAATCTAAACAAAATGTAGGTGAATAGAGGATGATTAGTTGAACAAGAAAATCTTGACCATGTGTTACTAATTAGTAGGAATAGTAGGTGCTAACGGAGTGTGTTTGAGGCCTCTTAATTAATACAGAGTTTTTACAATATTTAATGTTCTTCCACTAATTACAAATAAAGAAAGTATTTATATATAGAGGTTTGGGGTGATTGGTCTAAATATTCTTCTAAAGTAATAACTTTTGCCGAATGAAAGAGTTAATTATCGAAATGGTCCATTCACTACAAGAAAAATAAGTTTTAACGACAAAAAATTAGTGACGGGTAGAAAACCCCCTCACTAAATGTATTATTTGCATAGTTTTTGTGAGGGTTAAAAATTACTCTAGCAAGGTTTATGATTTAATGACGAAATTTTAATTTTATATTTATTTTAAAAGTGTACTCTCACTATTGATAGAAAAGATGTTGTTACTCTCAGTATTGATGTCTAAATTCACTAAAATCTAATTCCCACCAAAACTTCGTTTTTGGCGCCGCTTAGAAACTCTTCGTTCGTGAACCCTAAATCATAATCGCAGCCGCCGCCGACCAGCCTGCAACCATCTCTTGCTTCTCTGCCTCGCTCTGTCTCTTAATCTCTCGAAGGACTACAGGAGATAGGAGTTGCAGCCCTCTTGCATGTCGTCGCTTAGGTCATTACTGGAAATCAGTGATTTTCCGACAACTTTTCCGACACTGTCAGTGCATGATAATATTGAGCAATCCGAAGATGACGAGGGTAAAGTTTAAATTAGATCTTACATTTCAATTATTTTAATGTTTATTTTTGTTTAGATTTGAAATTTAAACTATTTGATTGCTTATTTTAATTATTGCTTGAAATGTGTTTTCATTTGCCTAAAAAATATTGAAGTGATTTTTAATTCACTTGTGTGATTTATAAATGATAGTACTAATTGCCACCTAATGCGGTAATAAAATAAACATGAGACCAAATAAAGCAATTAAATAACTCTTATTGATCACAGTGAAGGCCCTAAGTACAATCTAAATGGTTGCTCTGAGTACCGACTGACTGCGGTCGGGATTCTCTAACAACAACCTATCGATCGTCCAAAAAATCCCTCACACTGTCGCTATCGCGGGTATTTATAGCCGCGGAGCCGGAGACACAAATCCGGCCGTCCGGCATGCCTCCCACGTAGCAACCACGTGTCGCCTTCCTGGGTGCCCTGCCTGTCAACGCGTAGAGTCGCCACGTGTTTCTCACCAGCTCTCTCGCTAAAGGGCTATCGCTCGGTGGTCGGCAACGCCAATCGGGCATTACCCGGTCGGGAACCGACCGGGTTCTTCACAAGTAACCCGACCTGTAACCTGCAAAGACAAGAAGAAAAGGACGAAGGCACTGGGGTCGGGGTAACATTATGTCGGTCGGGGTATTCCCTACCAAGAGCTCCCGACCGGGTTCTTCACAAGTAACTCGACCTGTAACCTGCAAAGACAAGAAGAAAAGGACGAAGGCACTGGGGTCGGGGTAACATTATGTCGGTCGGGGTATTCCCTACTAAGAGCCCCCCAGCCTGTGCCTTTTTGACCGTCCGGGAAAAAACGGGACGGGATGAAGAAGCCCAACCGTCAGCCACCAAACCGACCGGCCAGCTGTCATTCCCTCCCTTGCCACGTGTCGACGACTGCCGGCCTCTGCGACTGTAACACCCTAGATTTTCAAGACTTTTTAAAACTTATAATAAAGGTAGAATCTTATTAAATCCCAAGATATAATACAAGTGTTCGGGGTGCTATGCCACACCTGGGCTAGAGAACCCAAGTGCACAGGCTAACTAACTAATATCCTCGAAGTGTGATTACATAAACGTGGCACGCAGGCCGAAAGGGAGACTATCTACTTCTACACTCCAAGTTCTAGCGCGCTCCAGTGACTTAATCTTCTGCCTGAAAGCCAAATATATCTGTTCAGCGAGAGATGCTGGTAACCCACTCCAACGCGTTGAAATACAATACATATAGAGATATATATAGATATACGAAAACCATTTTGAGCATGAAGATATATCCTATGAACTCTAGTTTTAAAACCGGGAATGACTCGACAGATAAGGCCAGACACAAGCAACAGTTACAACAAGCATATGCAGTTCACAACAGATAAGGCAGATAAGGCAAAGCATAAACAATAATCACAACCCAACATAAACAATCCCCAACATAAATCCCATAGTCACATCCCCCAAGACACTCGTAATCACAACTCGTCCATGTCACAACACATAACACACTTTGTTGGCGCCACAGGACCAATCGCATGCCCATACATGAGGGTCAGCGCATATAGCTCTGACACGGCCCCGCAGCACCCTGCCCCGTATCGCAACACAGAGGGGTCGATCACAACCGACCGATGAACCGCAGCTCATTATAGTGTTTGATCGCAACCAAACAGTGGACCGCAGCCCAAGAGAATGTCATCTGACCGCAGCCAGGAAAAAGGACGAACCGCAGCTCGTATAGAAACGTTTGATCGCAACCAAACGGTGGACCGCAGCCCAAGAGTATCAATCTGACCACAGCCAGCTTCTGAACCGCAGCTCAGGATAACCAATCCGATCGCAACCGAATTGGGATAACACCCACACATAACACATAGCAAGCACATGCAACCCATATTACACATTGGGAAGGGGGAGAAAGCGCATAACAAAACCTATGCGTGATCCATCACATACTAAGAATAGTCCTAAGGGGTTCATACTCCTTCCACCTAGGTCAACGAGATACCAATTCAACTAGCATGCAATATAATAGACTCATAAACCTACGAACGGTACCCGAAACATCAAACTAGACATATGCACGATAAACGGAGTCCGTTGGGACACCACGGGGAACAGGGGAACATCAAACGGGGAAGCCGGGAACCCAAGGTGGGGGAAATTCCAGCGGGTAGCCGGTGGGTGGGGGGCCACCCGCCGGCTGCCCGCCGGAAAGTACTGTTCCGGGCAGCGGGTCGCCGGCGGGCAGCTGCCCGCCTGCCGGCTACCCGCTGCCGGGCGGTGTTTCATGGCCGTGGGTAGGTGGCGGGTTCCCTACCCCCCCACCTACCCCCCACTGACTCTTTTCATCACTTTTGCGCCCCGGGAACCATTGCGGAACCCGAAACCATGCTTAGACACCTTACAACGCAATTAACGACAACAGGTAGACAATTAACGGGTCAAATACGAGAAACGAACGGCACATAATCTATCATGCTTTTCTAGACATAATCAACACCCAAACATGCGATTTCCCCACCCCACAATCCAAGAATCATAACATACGATACAACCTAGGGTTCTAATCACTTTTATGTCAACAAGAATACAATTCGCCTTCTAATTGCAAGATTCGGTAAGGATAACACATAAGCATCAAGAACATCACACAATTATCAAGAACAACACATGATCATCAAGAATTCCATATAATCATCAAGAACACCATAATTATCAAGAATCTCCCAATATCAAGATCATCAAGATCCCTCATGGGATCATCACGTCAAGCATCAATAATAATCAACAGATCTCGCCATTCACAATAATATGGGGGAAACCCTAAGGGGGAATCATAACTATGAAAATAGGTTTTGTTGAGACATGGGTTACCTCTTACCCTTAATTAATTCCTTGGCTATGAAGGATCTTTCTTTAAGCTTTCTTGATTTCTTGATTTCTCCTAAGGGGATTCTTGGAACTCTTTGGGTGGTGAGAGATTATTGTGGTGGGGATTCTAGGTGCCTCCTAAGTTCCCTATTTATATATTTAAGATTCCTAGTTAGGGCCTGAATGGTATGCGTTTACTAATTCTATTCCTTATAGGGCTAGGGTTTGGTTTAGGGATAATGGTCCACGGTCCATAGTGGACCATATTAATTAAAGAGGATCCTAATCATAATCTGAATAGTAAAAGGCCTACTTCCATTATTCCTAACAGGCTTAAGACTCTTATTCGGGCAAGGGTCCACGGTTCATGGTGGACCTTACTAATTAATTAAAGGTGAACCTAACATAATTAAATCATATTTAATTATTATTAACGGGATTAATTAAATAATTAATCCGGGATTGAAGGCCGTAACACGGGGTGTTACAGCGACTGCAACGGTCGCCTCGGAATCAGCACGGGTCGCGTCACGCAAGTGGACTGGTTTCCCGCCCAAACGCTCTCCTATAAATAGGCCCTTGAGGCCCTCATTTGAACTTTCCTCAATCTTCTGAATCGATCGACATACTCAGAGAGTCCCGAGCGAAGTACTTTAGCAGACCAGTCGAGCAACCAACTTCTGAGCTTCTCAAAGTCTCCTCAATCGGTAAGCTCTCTAACCTTCTGCTTTATTACTCGCTTTACGTTTTCATATAGCGGTTGGTAGGGCAAGACTAACCTCGACCCAAACGTTCCGAGCCCCACACTAATCCCGACCGACCTTTAGGTAGAAAGAATGTCAGAATCGGACAGCCAGAATATATCAGTCGCGGATTATGACGACGAGATCGAGCAAGCCAGCGAGGAGGTAGATATAATGTCTTACTCGCCGGAGGTCGTTCAACGACCACAACAAACTCCCGAGCGAGCCCCCGAGCAACAACGGTCATCGAGCTCGTCTGGGACGTCGGGATCGAGCTCCAGCGGATCGGGGAGCTCGAGCGGTGAGAGCGGGGAAACGTCCACGAGCGGACGAAATTCCCCAAACGAGGGCATTCGGGAAACGCCTACGAGGGTAATTGGGGATTACCCTCAGGTCGAGCCCCAGGAGGGCGACCGGGAAGACGCTGCGGAGCCGAACGAGGAAGACCCGGCCGGGCAGGCAGCGCCGGCCGGGGACGGATTTGAATTCCTTAACAGCGAGAGCGTGGAAGGTTAGATGAGCAAGCTGACAAAGGGAGAAGCGGCTAAGATCGCCGCAACACTCAGCGGTCGGGTCGAGTTCGATACCAGCCGCCAGCTCGGGAACATTATAGACCGTCACCGGGGAAAGTGGATCGGGATGCACTATGACTCCCTGATGGCCCCGATCACTTTCCCCTTCTTGAGCCTTCTCACCGCGTTCTTGGGCTACTACCAGGTCGTGCCCGGACAGATCTGCCCGAACGCGCACCGGATGATCGCGTGCTTTCCTCAGATATGCGGTCGGCACAACTTGGCCTGCACCATGGAGCTGTTTAACTTCGTATACCAGGTGAAGGTGTTGGCGGCCACGTATGGGGGCGAGTTTCTAATGACCCAATCCCGAGCAGATATGTGCTCGATCAAGGGCCTGCCCGGGAACAACCGGGGTGGAAGAACTGGATATTCTCGGTTAAATACGACCCGTGGATCCTCCCGGTCGAGAGGGTTTGGAGCCAACGCTTCCAGAAACAAGTCGTGCCGGTCGAGACACAGGCCCTCAAGGACGCGGTCACCAAGATCTCGGGCGAGATCTACGAGAACCAGATCTTCAAGACGGCCGAGAGCTACGAGGCGGCCGAACTACCCGAGCCGGTCTACGATCTGACCGAGAAGTATAAACCCGAGCCAATGGGCGTAACGATCGCCAAGGCGCCCGCTCGGGGCAAACGAAAAGCAAAAGGTCTAACACTAACCATTCCTCCCCGACCTTAACACCCCGAACGACTTTAATTCCCGATCTAACTGTCTTTCTCTTATTTGTTTGCAGAGATGGCCGGTTTTGGTGATGATGACGTCCCTCTACCCCCGGTGGCTAAGATCGTGCTTGGCAAAAAGAGGCCAAAGACTAAGCCGGCCGGGGAAAAGGAGATCCCCCTTGCCCGACCGATGGGCGCCTCGACCATCACTACGCCGGAAGGCTATGTAGTCGACGCGTCTGATGTTCTGGTTGCCCGGGTGGCCGTCGCCTAGGGCAAAGAAAAGGTGCCCGAGAAAAGGGCAACTGATAGTGGCGCACTGAAGCGCCGGCGGGAACAGCGCAGCCCGAGTCTCTCGACCGGGGGAAGCAAGGACGGCTCGTCCATTCTCGCCCGAATCGGCAACGCCGGGCCAGCCAAGGAGGACTTGAGCAAGCTGACCCCGACCCAGGTGGCCGAGAAGATCGGCTACGACTTGGCCGAGGTAACGTTTCCTTCCTCTAATCTTTTTATGCAAGTAACCCCGTTCGGGCTAACCCCGATCGTATGTGCTCTGTAGATCTCCCGAGCGACCCAACTCCTACAGCGACGGGTCCTGCAGGCTAACGAGGCCGCCGCTCTGAAGAAGGTCGCCGACCGGCGACTACAGGAAGTGAAGGACCTCCAGGCTGAGCTGACAAAAGCCCAGGAGGATCTGAAGAAGAGCCGAGAGGACCGGGAGCTATCCGAGACGGTCGCTCAACAGGCGATCGGAGAGGTTGCCGAGCTGAAGACGGTGGCCTAACAGGCGACCGGGGAGGTTGCGGAATTGAAGGCCCGGTTGAACAAACCGGACGAGCTGGCCCGGTTCCTTTTCCAGGACAACGAATCGGGCACGCAGTTCCTCAAGGCGGTCCGGGGTGTAACGGTCGGGGATGAGCTAATCTGGTCATTCGGGCGGTGGGCGTTTATGACCGGTCAGAGGAAGATGCGTGAAAAGACGCAAAAGATTATGGAACAGGCGCTCGAAGGAGAAGACCTTCAACTGGTCCTGACCACACTTCCTCCGGACCTTCCCGACCCCGGGCCAGCGCCGTTTGACCCGAAGGCGAGGACGGCCTAACCGAGCGGGTCTGCTGCAGCTACCCCGAGCGAAGCGGAGCCTTCGAAGAAGTAGACTTGACTTCTTCGCTTTGTAATGTACTTAATCGGGAGCCCGGTCCCGAGTTTGTACCGGGCACGTTTTATATTTAATAAAATTTACTTTTTGTTCAACTTGTACCGCTCGTTTCCCTTGCTCTTTCACTTTCAATTACACACATGCCGAACATCCAATGCTCGACCTTGCGGCCTCATGGCCTGGTCGTACATCATTCGACTCGTTCAACACCCGACCTCTTAGCCTTATGGCCTGGTCGTGTATCTTTTGATCGGTCTAATGCCCGACCTCGCGGCCTTATGGCCTAGTCGTGCATTTTTTGACCGGAACCTCGACGTTGTGCTGGCCTACCCGATCAGGTTTACCTGATATCCTGGCCTTGTCGATTTTTGAAAACTATTAAGCCTCTTCGGTCGGGGTGTTCCCGAGCGACGGGCCTATAGCACTTCCTTCATCCTAGCCCCCACACTATTGTGCACTCGAGGCACGAGTGGGTGCAATAGTGGAAAGAATTTGGACGGATCGGGGCTCTGGCTTTCCCGATCGGTGGCGTGACCCAGATGTCCGCCGAAGAGGAGCGCATTTGACTGGTCGACGGATTCGCCCGGTCGAGATAGCGTGGTGATGACTTAACCTGCGTTTAACGAAGGTAAGGAAAAAAATCCGATCGGGCCGCCGTGTGCAAATGGTCGAGCAATCACCGATCGTATATACATTGAACCTTCCCGCTCGCAGGCGGTTAAAAAAATATATACAACAATTTTCAAACAAACGACGAACGGAACCGACTCGTAGGTCGAGCCACCACTTCGTCTAAAATTACAAAAAATAGGCTAATGCCTAAACATAACGAGGTGCTCGAAATTCCAAGTCCCCTCGATTACCCAACCGGTTGTTGTCTCCAGTCGGTATGTTCCCGACCGGATTACGGCACTGATGATATAAGGCCCTTCCCAATTCTGAGCTAGCTTCCCGCCTTCCAAAGGTTGACTGGCCTCCCGTCGACGTAGAACGTAATCTCCCACCTGAAAATACCGAGGGTTAACCCGAACGTCCTTTGAACTCTTGACTCTTTTCTGATACTCGGCCATACACCGAGCGGCTAGCTCTCTTTTTTCCTCGACCCCATCGAGATCCACGACCATCGAGTGTTCATTCTCCTCTGCATTGTAAGTTCGCTCGCGGTCGGTCGGGATCCATGCCTCGATCGGGAGTCGGGCTTCTGCTCCGTAGACAAGGGCGAAAGGAGTCTCCAAAGTAGCTTCCCTCGGGGTCGTCCGATAAGTCCACAAAACATATGGCAACTCATCGGCCCAACTACGACCAGTCGAGTGTAGCTTCTTTTTCAGACCCTCTAGAATTGTCCGATTGGCGTTCTCTACTTGTCCATTTCCCTGCGGGTAAGCCACCGACGACCGGACGTGTGTCGTCCCGATCGTGGCCAAGAAATTCTGGAAGTATTGGCTTACGAATTGGCGGTCGTTGTCGCTGATGAGATGCACGGGCACACCAAAGCGGGAAATCACATTGCGCCATAAGAACCGAGCACACTGCTAAGAGGTGATCGTGGCTAACGGCTCGGCCTCGATCCATTTTGAGAAGTAATCGATGGCGACAATGACGAACTTTCTTCGGCCGGAAAGCTGAGGGAAGGGTCCCAAAATGTCCACCCCCACCTTGCGAAGGGAATTGCAGTCGTGACCGGTTGGTAGAAGGTAGCCGGTCGTCCAGGCACCCGGGCAAACAATTGGCACGTCTCACATTCCCGAGCGAGCTTCTCACAGTCCAGCTGGAGGGACGGCCAATAGTACCCGATCAGCATGATTCGACGAGCTAAGGATCGGCCTCCTTGATGTGACGAACAAATGCCCGAGTGCAATTCCTTCATGACAAGATCGGCCTCAAATGCGGTCAAGCAGCGCATAAGAGGGCCTCCATACGATCGCCTATAGAGACGACCGTCCAAGACTTGGAACCTCGGGGCTCTAAGCTTGGCGTTCCGAGCACGCTGGGGGTCGTCTAGGAGTCGACCGTGCTCAAGGAACTCCTTCAGATCGGTGGTCCAATCGTCTTCTGCCGGTTGGATAGGATTAACCGGCAATCGGTGGATACTGTGTCTTGGGATCACCAAAATCCGAGCGATCTTCGACATATGTTCCGGGGCGTCTTGGGCCAATTTGGAAAAGATGTCCGCATCGGTATTATCCAATCGGGGTATGTGTCGGACGGTATACCCCCGGAACTGGGCAAGCTTTTCCATGGCCAGGTCTCGGTATAGCTGTAATCGTTCTCCATTCACTTCATAATCCCTGAGAACCTGCCCGACCACGAGCGCGGAATCTGTTTGAGCCCGAATATATTCAGCCCCCAAGTCCCGAGCACACTGTAAGCCGTTAACAAAGGCTTCGTACTCGGCTTCATTGTTGGTCGGATGGAACTGATACATAAGGGCAAAATAGACCTTGAATCCTTCCGGGCTCGTGACTACCACTCCTCCTCCTGCCCCTTTCTTGCTGCTCGACCCATCAGTAGCTAGGGACCACCACTCGGCCTCAGGGTCCACGACCTCGGGGGGTCGGGTATCCCGAGCGGTGCACTCGACCAAGAAATCTGCAAGGGCTTAACCTTTGATGGCTGGTCTTGGTCGGTATTCTATCGCATACTGGGTCAGCATTAACGCCCATTTGACAAGGCGACCGGATGATGAAGCATTTCGGAGGACTGGCACGATCGGTTGATCGGTCAACACGCGAATTGCTCGACCCTGGAAGTAGGGAGCCAACTTCTTCGCGGCAATGTATAGGGCGTAGACGACCTTCTCAAGCCGGGAGTACCGGAGCTCGGGACCATGTAGCGCGTGGCTTACATAGTACACCGGTCGCTGGACCCCTTCCGGATCGGTTCGGCACAATACTGCGCTTACTGCACGATCGGACACGGCGAGGTACACGTCTAGCTCTTCCCTGAGCTCGGGCTTCGACAACACTATTGGTGACATGAGATACTCCTTTAGCTCGTCGAAATCCGCTCGGCAGTCATCATCCCAGACGAAACCATTAACTTTACGCAATACCTTGAAGAAAGGTAAAGCGCGCTCGGCTAATTTGGAGAGGAACTGGCTGAGAGCAGCCAACCGACCGGTCAATTGCTAGACCTCCCGAACGGTTGAAGGTGGTTGCATGTCCAGAATTGCCTTAACTTTGGCCGGGTTGGGCTCGATTCCCCTCTTGGTCATCATATAGCCGAGGAACTTCCCGGTCTGAACCGCAAATGTGCACTTGGTTGGGTTCAGCCTCAACTGGTACTTCCTCATGATCTAGAAGCACTCCCGGAGATCCCGAGTGTGGTCGGATCGGTCCCGACTCTTGACCAGCATATCATCAATATACGCCTCCATCGTTCGGCCTAACAGATCGGCGAAGAGCATATTGACCATCCTCAGATAGGTCGCTCCCGCGTTACGGAGGCCGAACGGCATCACTCGGTAGCAATACAGCACGTCCGGGGTCACGAAGGCTGTTTTGCTCTCATCTTCATGGTGCATCATTATTTGATGATATCCCTTGAATGCATCCATGAAGCTCATCAACTCGGCCCCGGCCGTCTCGTCGACCATCTGGTGGATGCTCGGTAGCGGATACGGGTCGAGCGGACAGGCCTTATTGAGGTCGGTGAAGTCAATGCACATCCTCCAAGCTGGGCGCTTAGGAACAAGGACTATGTTGGCCACGCACTCGGGATAGATCACCGGTTGGATGTGCTCGATCGCCGCCATTTTCTTGACCTCTTTTCTGACGAACTCGCGGTGATCGGATGAAAGGTGCCGGGTCTTCTGCAGGACCGGCTTTGCTGCGGGATCGACGGCTAGCTTATGACAAATCACCGTCCGGTCGATCCCGGGAATATCTTCGGGCCCCCAAGCAAAGATGTCAGCAAACTCTCAGAGTATTGCCAAAACTTCCGCTCGGAGCTCGGGAGTGAGGGCCCGGCCAATCTTTATCTTCCTGTCCGGTCGGTCCTCGGACAGGGGAACTTCTTCTATTTCCTCGGAAGGCTCGGGTTGTTCCTTCCGGTTTTTGGATTCTTCCTTCGCAATCGTGTTCACCCGGGAAGACGGACCGGAGTCACGCCTATTGACCGCTCGGGTGTAACACTTCCGGGCGGATTGGACATCGCCACGGACCACACCGACCCCATTGGGGGTGGGGAATTTCATGCACAGGTGGGGCATTGAAATTATCCCACCAATCTTCATAATCGCGGGTCGGCCCAAGATAATGTTGTGGACGCAATGTAGGTTGACCACAACGAACTCCAACTCCGTCTTGATCGACTTCGAGGAAGTGCCGATCTCTACTGGGAGCGTGATTTTTCCCTCGGGGTAAATAAGAGCCCCGGTAAATCCCGACAATGGTACAGCGACCGGAGTCAGCTCTCTCTTGTCGAGCCCAAGCTTCTCGAACACGTCCAAATAAAGGACGTTGACACTGCTCCCAGTGTCCACCATAAGCCTCTAGACGTCCATCCCTTTCACGTCTATGGTGACCACGAGTGCCTCCATGCCGTGGTCACCGCTACAAGGTTGATCTTCGAGGGTGAAGGTTATGGATTCCATTTTCTGCCTCTTCCCGGTGTCTCGGGAATCCACTATGGCGACCGGGCAGTTATCCCTCGGTCGGGAAGCGTCATCCAATCCACCAAAGATTACGTGGATGGTCGGCTTGCCTGCCGGTCGGCTACTGGTTGGGGGGTCAGGATCTCGCCGGTCATCTCGACGGTCATCTCTTCGATCATCTCTTCGGTCCTGACCCGACCGATCGGAACGTCCATCACGATCAGAACGATCAGAGCGGTGATGGGATCGTCGATGATCTCTCCGATCGATATTCTTCTTTGTTTATTCTCTCTTCCCTACACACTTGTCCAATTTCCCCAGATTGAGCAGATCTTCCAACAATTGGCGCAAGTCGATACACTCTTCAGTGTCATGCCCGGCACATCGATGGTAAGCACAATGCTTACTCTTGTCAGGGCCGTCTTGATCAGGATGGGGGAGTTTGATGAGATTGCAAGACTGGGCGTACTGCATGGCCTCCGCCGCGGATCGGTTCAGGGCCGTAAACTCACCAGGCCTGGTGCGGGATCGGGGATGGTCGTCACCCGATCGATGTTCCGCCTGGCCGGCCGGTTTACGGGACGAGGACCCGACCTCCTGCGAGCGTTTCACAGCGTTCGCCTCGCCGACGTTGGCATAATCTGTGACCCTTCGAAGGGCCTCTTCGTACGTGGCCGGGGGATGGAGGATGAAATCCTGAATAAATAACCCGCCCGGAGGGAAATGTGGAGCATGTGGGTAGCGGTGGCGTCGTCCATTGGCTCGACTTCCCCGACCGCTGCCTTCCACTTGACGAGGAAATCGGTTAAGCTCTCCCCTTCGAGCTGCTTGGCCTTTTCCAGATACATATAGGGCTTCCTCACCACCTTGGAGGTGATGAACTTCCTCACGAACTTGATCGCCAGGGCGTTGAAATCAGCAATTGAGCCCGGCTGCAAAGTTCGGAACCATTCCGCCGCCCGACCAGTGAGCGTGGAATAGAAAGCCCTACACATTACGGCGTCTGATACGCCCTTCAACATCATGTTGCCGTAGAAATCGTTGACATGGACCTCAGGGTCCGTACGACCATCATAACTCTTCTCCCCGGAGACCTTCAAGTCGAGCGGGTATGGCTGGGCCATTACCTCCGCAGTGAAGGGCGTTCTCAACAAAGATGACTGGTCGACCGGGGGTGTCACGGGGTGCTCGTTCCTGAACCGAGCGAACTCCGCCTGGAGGTTATAGAGCAATCCTCGGGTCTCGTTGAGCTCGGTCGTCTGGGCGGCTTGGGCTGACTCCCGAGCGCGTCGCCGACGGTGAGATCTCGACCCGCTATGCCCGGATGAAGCCTCCTGGCTAGCCTCCTGCATCTGTACATCTTCTGGCTGCCGGCTCTGGTCTTGGGATCCCAAACGTTGTCGCATCGCCGGTCGGAGACGATCAAAAGCTACCGCCCGTGTAACTTCTTCGGGGTCCTCCGCTCGGGTCGGAACCTCCGGTGCTTGAGGGGCCTGCCGTGGTACTTCCATCGCATCAGCACCCCCCCGACCCCAACCGCGAACAAGCCGAGCGTCGAGCCCGGGAAGTGGGCTGATGCTGCGGCTCTACATGTGCGGTCGGGTAAACTGGAGGGGCGGCGGCTGGAGCCATGTACGCAGGCGTGTGTGGTGGATAGCCAACCAGTGGTGTATAGTACATCGGTTGACCAGGCCAGTACCCGTACGGTTGAGGTGGAGCCGGGTATGCGTACTGGCCGGGATACTGCATCTGCTGCTGCTGGTATTGCTGACCGGGTGTTGGGTATCCCGGTTGAATGTAGTTCACCGGCTGTTGGGCAACCGGGTATGTATTTGACGGGTGGGGTGGTGAGAGATTGAGATTGAGGTCCATTGCCTGACCTTGCTGCTGGCTCGGCTGATGATCGGATGAACTAGCCGCATCCGCTTGATCGTCGGCGAAGAGATTTTGTGCCCAGGGATACATGATTGCTAAGAGACCAGGTGCTCGTCAAACGTTGGCTTGCTTGCACGATTCCCCACAGACGACGCCAAAATGATAGTACTAATTGCCACGTAATGCGGTAATAAAATAAACATGAGACCAAATAAAGCAATTAAATAACTCTTATTGATCACAGTGAAGGCCCTAAGTACAATCTAAATGGTTGCTCTGAGTACCGACTGACTGCGGTCGGGCTTCTCTAACAACAAACTATCGATCGTCCAAAAATCCCTCACACTGTCGCTATCGCGGGTATTTATAGCCGCGGAGCTGGAGACACAAATCCGGCCGTCTGGCATGCCTCCCACGTAGCAACCACGTGTCGCCTTCCCGGGTGCCCTGCCTGTCAACGCGTAGAGTCGCCACGTGTTTCTCACCAGCTCTCTCTCTAAAGGGCTACCGCTCGGTGGTCGGCAACGCCAATCGGGCATTACCCGGTCGGGAACCAACCGGGTTCTTCACAAGTAACCCGACCTGTAACCTGCAAAGACAAGAAGATAAGGACGAAGGCACTGGGGTCGGGGTAACACTATGTCGGTCGGGGTATTCCCTACCAATAAATTTATAAATTAATTTAAAACAAAATTGTTGGCTGAAATTTTGGCGCCTCACTCATGGAAGACAACCGCGTTTTTTTTCCCTCTTTTCAATTAAAAAATTATTAAAGATAAAGATTAAAGACATCATTTTTTTCACGGCAAAGGGTATCTCTGTTTTCACTTTTAGAGTTTCACGGCAAAGGGTTTTCGTGCTTCACCACTGCCGTAAGCCGCAACCTCCATAGTTCAGGAAATCAGCACCAACCTCCATAGGTACGTTGGGAAGTGAAGAAATCGCAACTCTAGTAGGTTAATTTCTACTGGAGGGCTACTGAAGGTCAACGACCACAGGGAAGGGTTTCTCTGGGTCAGGAAATCAGCAGCAACCTTCATAGGTACGCCATTCCTACGAGACCACTGCTAGTTTGTGTAAATATAAGCTTATTGGTTGTTGGTCTAGTTTTTAGAGTTTCTGACATTCTCTCATTTTGTTTGTTTTGTTTTGTTTTTGTTTTTGTTTCTTATCCACAGAGTGAACTTCCATTAGTTCAAGCACTAGAATTTGAGGTTGAGGCTGTTTAAATGTAGATTTTAGTTCAGGTACATTTCCTAAGCTTGTGCACTGACCGCTAATTTTTAATTTATCTTTACCAGATTTTGAGTATTTAAATGCCCATTATGCTTTATTTGTGTTGCTTATAATGTTAGGGTTGTTCTCTTAGAGAACTAATCTGTTAGGTTGTATTAGTTTGCTTTGGCAGGTAAAGGATGTTGAACCTGGTTTTCTTGTGTATAATATTTCCATCTTCAAACCCTTTTACATGTGTCCTTTCTTCTGCGTGAAATTTGCAACATTGTTAGTATTTCTGAATGCTGTAATCAATTATTAAATGCACTCGATGTCTTGTGGTGTTTGAAATGCCAAATGCAATTTTTTTTTTTTAAAAAAAAAATGAAAGCTCATAACATGTGTATAGAATTTATATTTTAATTATTTGAATTAAAGACTTTGTTTCAGAGTATTTCCTCTTTGTTGGTCCACTGTGAAATATTTCCATAGATTCTCATTAGTCATATGACTGCATCTACGTATTTTTAGTTTTGGATTGCTTTTCTCCCTAAGTTGGGGAGCTTGCAGTAATATATCTTACTAGATTCTTATGAACTAACTGTCTTAGTTCTTTGATTGCACTAATGTGCTTTAGTTGT